TTCAATGGATGAAGTTTCAAGAAACGAAGGTGAGGAGAAAAATTCGATGCTTTTTATTTATTATTAGAAAGAAAAGTAGCGACGTATATTAGGGAAACCCACTTGTCATCAGCTTACTTCAAAACAACCCTCAAAAAAAAGAGCTGTTGGAAGCCTCATCACCTGATGGTTGTTGTTGGCACTTGCTACCACCCGGATTGTCCCCGAATGTTTCTTTTCGTTACGAATAATGAATGCAATGTTGCGGACGGAACCTCTCTTAACAGTTGATTATGGGCCGAGACGGAATCGAACCTCTCATTTTCATTGTCAGCGGACCTTTCGAATTGTGACATGTTATCCATTACACCATCGGCCCTTACGAACGATCCATTTATCAAATGGAGCCCTTGTATCTGTAATTATGTTATTCGTAGATGTACGACCTTGTCCTGTCCAACGCTGCTATCACATACTCTTATATATGTTTTGTTCGGGGACATGTAGAATCAGTTTTATTGGCTTTTCGCAGGACTTCCGCAAAATACGGAGGAGGAGGAGAGGATCGTGGGGAAAAGGGGGAGGAATTATCGATAGAATAGGTAGCAGAGTCTCCATTTTTCTCGAACCGAACCTAAGCCTACTTTATCTTACCGGGATTAGCAGCGGGATTCCTCTTTTCTGCTAGGATTTTCACATGCTTTCGCTCCATCATCATTTGGAAGTCCGTTCATTGCGCCCCGTGATTTTTCTTCATTTCAGATGTGCAACGAAAACGAATAGTAATGGAGAAATATCGAGCAGGCATTAAATATTTCGAAGAAGCCCTCAAAATTTCACCGAATAGTGTAGAGCACGACAGAAAAGCCGAGGTTGAGCAGCATCGTGAAGCAATCAAGCGTAATTTGGAAGCTACGAAAGGACGGCTAAGCGATCTTGGTATGTTTAATTGTTGACAAATTTGGCGCAGTGGTACCATCAGCTCATATTAAAGCTAGCCACTTCTAGACCACAACGAAGTACCTTATCATTTAGGAGTTTTGCCTTTTATGGAGCCTAGATAGGGCATAATGGATGGCAGTTTCTGTACAAATGCCTGGGTACTTTTTATTGCTCATAATTAGTTGATGCTTGAAACGGCTGTTAGTTCATCGTTGATTCGTCGGTGTGGCCGGCAGCCATTCGATGCACTGCTCGATTTGTGTTTACAGCTAAGGGATGAAACGCAGACTAACTACATCGTAAAATTTCCTCCGGCACGTGACACTTAAGAGCAATCCTTCTGTTCTACTATTTCATTCTTAATTTTTTCGCATGCTTTCTAGAGATCTTGACATTTTCTCTTCGTCTTCTAAAAGTGTTCGTGACGGAGGCCCTCCCAGAAGCAGTTTTTTTGCAAGGCTTTAGCCACTTAGAGATTCAGCGGTATGTGCCGAACATATCCATTATAAGATTATCCGGAGGTATCTTTCTGTTCAAGAGTTTTACTTCTTAAAAAAACAAAAAATATCAAATTTATTGATTTTTTTTAGAAAAATTATTTCCGCCGAACTCGGGCCGAAATGTGTCACGCAAACCTGTCCAGATTGTTGCTCCATCAACAAGCAAACCACCGGCATTACAACGAGCACCGATGACAAACCCCATCGTCTCTAAAAAAGCTGGAGATCTAACGGTAATTTATGATAATTTCAAATTAGTGATGATTTCTAAATATGATTTCCAACTGTTGATGATTTCTAATTATGATTTCTGGTTATTGATGATTTTTAATTATGATTTCTAATTATTGATGCTTCCTAAGTGTGATTTGTAATCACTGAAATGAAACAGATATTTTACGTTAGCCCCATTCTTTATCATTAAGAATGGTGTGGCGAAGGTCGAATTCACTGATTACCAGAACTGTAAGAGTTTCGGTGCGAATTCTTAATTTTACTGAAAATCATCAGTTAAATAACTGTGCTCTGTTCCCCTGCTTTAATTGCTCGCCTATATCTTACACCGTAATTTGGACCAGTGTTATCATTTTGGGTTCATGTAGCCATTATTAGCCTCCATGGCCCCTTCTTCCCTTTCTGTTTCGTCATGTAAGCAACTCTTGAAAGAAGGAGACAGCGACAGCCTTGTAATTGGGTATTTGCTTTTAGCACCTACAGCTTCCTGAAGTATTTCTGAATATGTTCATTTCTCATAAAGATTGAATTTGAAGTAGTTTTTGATCGCAGGGGATTTTGCGTCTTTTCCTACTTTATACTAATTGTTTTTGGGTACCATCTGTGATACCCATATTTCATTCATATCATCTTCCATCAGGCTTAGATGAGTTGCCACTTACCTAGTTTTTCAGAAATTTTAAAGATGCAGTATCTCTGGCTAGGGGATTGGAAGAGGACGGGGCCTGAAGTCTTCTATTTGCTCAGATACGGAGTTTGTTTGACACTGTTAGCCCACTGTGGAGAGGAACACAATCAAATTTTGACAATTAAGCAAAAACTGGAAGTGCCATTTAGATCTCTAGACAAGCAAGCCTATATGTACTTTGAGCTGGTATCCTCTCGGTTTTCCATCCCTAAGCTGTAAGTTTTCTGTAGGTGTCGATTATTCTCTCGTAATAATGCCAGGTGTTTTCGAATTTTAGGACGCCTCCTTCCGTAATATGCTACTGAAAGGTGTCGATGATAAATTTGGCGCCCCGTTGCTGAATGAGATTTTAAATCAAGATGATGTCCGGATGAGTGAAATTATTGGTGCTGAAGCAGCAAAACGGGCACTCGAGGAAACGGTCATTTTACCA